ACCTCCCAATGATCCCACCTCCAAATACAATTGCATCACAGATTAGGGCTTCAGCATGAATTTTAGGGAAATACCTATTTTCAGTTGATAGCAAGATCTCTTTTAGTTGGTCATCATTGTATGACTAGGAGAGACTACCTTACATTGGACATTTAACATGAGTAGGACTATACTCAATGTTTATATTGAGGATTTTCAGTTAATTCAGAGGATTAACTGAATGAGACTTTGGTCCAAGATACCCTTTGTTGCAATCATCTGTGCTAGAATGTAATAAAATGCATTAATCCTCCTGGCACATTTTTCCAACTGACCCCAAATTTAAATGCCCAACTGTCTGGAAACATAGATGTGAGTATAGAGATGATGATTTTAAAAGTCACTCCTCCATTATTGAAACTATACTCAATGTTTGCTTATAGTCATATTTGAGCTTTAATTTCATCTCTAATTTTTATATCTTCATGATGTTGGACCAGTTAAATCTCTGTAGGTCTCAATTTCCTCAACGATGAAATTGTTCAATCACAGTATCTATTTGTAAAGTCGCCATCAAGATATAAAATCATGCATGTAAAGCACATAGCACAGTGCTTGACTATCAAAATATATCCTTGATAAAAATTGGGCTTTTAAATTATGAAAATAACCAAGCTTATTTGGACAAAAGCTGAGACTAGTAACATAAGAAATAAAAGTTTGACCAGTGCTTTGGTCGTTAATATCAATATATTTATTTGTTAAAAAATGTTGAAATTTTCTGTTAATTATAATACACCATTTGTGTGTTTTAAAATAAACATAGACATATGGTGTGTGTGTGTGTGTGTGTGTGTGTGTATGTGTATGTATTCAAGTGCATGCACAAAGTATGTACCTAATAGTCTGCCTCATCATTTCTTTGCATAATTAGCTCATTTTCCACTACTATATAAGAATTTCAACTAATACACCATTGAAATCTGGGATATCTTTTACCTATATAAACAGTTGCTTTTATTTCATGAAATCAGAAACTACTTAGTCCTGCTTTAAAAGATAATTCCCTAACAAAAATGTTTACATTAATAACTGGGTGCTCCAATTAAATGTTACTGGCAAGAAAATTATAAAAACCAATCACACACACAGAGCTCAACTCTTAAAACCCCAAATTCCCATAAATCGCACCTTGTTGATATCCATGCCACTTACAATGTAGCAAGTATCCTAAAATATTTAATACTTGCATTTTATAGAAATTATTGATTTTTCCCTTCAGGTTTAGTGACTCAGATGGTAAAGTAAATTTAAGCCTGTTCTCATATGACCTAAAATGTCAAGGTGATAAATCCTTTTTAAGGTTTAACTTGTATTACTCAGAGAGTGACAGCCACTGGAGGAAGTGAGCTCCCATTATGAAACTAGAGAAGACCGATCAGTAAGAAAGGATGGCAATATAGATTTGAGTAGCTGGGTTTTCCAACATAAGAGCTAGAGTTGAATGAATGCTTACCCCTGGATTTAAATAATCACAGTCATCATGTCTTCTCATAACCACTAACTAGTACAGAGAGCATTTGCTCCAACACTAGAATATATAGAAAGAAAATGTTCATTACAGTGGACAATCCTGGGAGTGGGATAGGGTTACTCATATTTCAGTAAAATTTAACCTTCTAGAAGGCAATAAGTAATTCTGACTGCTCATGGAGAATAAAACACCATCTAAGCATTATTCTTAATTGAAATGCAATTAAGAAGCAACACATAAGAAGGAGCTGGAAATTTAAGAGGGCTGTGTCTTCATGAAAACGTCAAGTAGTTCTCTCTCTTTAAATTTGGTTCAAAATGTTCTATGAAGATCTGTGGGATTTATTTCTGCACACTGGGTAGATTTATGTATTCAGAAAAGGGCTACCCAGGAGTGTATGCCAAGAAAGTGACTTTAAGCTCTAGCAAAAGATCTGATTTCTGGCCTTTCAGAGGAAATCAATAAAAAAAGGATAAGATTTTATAAAATAAGTAGTTTCCCTGCTAAAGCTGTCCCCCTATTTGGCACTTATCTACAATGAACCTGCCGCAAGCTATAATGGTTTTGTGATTAGTGTGAATGAATGTTCCTCACCACATAGATTCACTATTGATTTTTTAATTAATAATCATATCTTGTATTTATATAGTTGCCATCTCTGAGGAAATCTTAGTGCTAGTTGATGAATTCCAATTTATCTTCATACTATTCTGCTGAATGTATAGATTATGTATTACAATTGCATATTAAGGAGGAAAAATAGAACCATAAAAGTTAAATCACTGGCCACAGAGCTTTCAGAAAGCTAATAATAGAATCATCCATTAAAACCTGGTAGTCGTGGCTTCTAATTCTGGCTGTTTCCCAAAATCATCCAATCAGTTGGGCCAACTCTGATGATTCCTTAGGAAAAAGAAGTTGATCATAACAATGATTTGGAATTGCTGTGATTAACGGACATTTAATTTTCCTCATATCATTTTGGTGTACACTCACTGGGTTGAAGACATTTTTATTTTTTGGACCATATGCATTTTTAGTTGTCTAAAAAAAAGAAAGAATCTCCCATCAAAAACTTGTTTAAAACCCTTACTTATTGTAGTCATTCTTTTTTCTTTTTAAAAAAATATATATTTTATTGATTTTTTTTTACAGAGAGGAAGAGAGAGGGATAGAGAGTTAGAAACATCGATGAGAGAGAATCATTGATCAGCTGCCCCCTGCACACACTGGGGATGTGCCAGCAACCAAGGTACATGCCCTTGACCAGAATCAAACCCAGGACCCATCAGTCCACAGGCCGACACTCCATCCACTGAGCCAAACCAGTTTCGGCTGTACTCATTCTTTCAATCATTCTTTCTTCCAGCCTTAACAATGTGGGACTCCCTTCTTTATGATTTCTCCCTTCTTTATATTTCTATTCATGTCCATTTTTCTTCTGACAAGTTTATGATGGTCCCTCAGTATTCTCCTTACTGCTACCACTCTAATTCTCACATTTATATGGGTAAACTCCTTATTGTCTCTCCTACTTCACCTAGTCCATCTTACATCAATTTTTCTCATTCTCTGTGATTTTTGAAATTATGAATTATTCAGCCACATAAAAAGTATACAGGCTAACATGTTGACTATTCATATCCCCAGCACCCAGCTTAAAAAACACAACATTTGAGATGCAGTTGGAAGCCTTTGAAGTTTCTACCTGATCTCACTTCATTTCCCCTCCCCACTACTATGAATTTAATGGTTATTAGTCTAATGCATGTTTTATACTTTTATTTACCATTTATATCTGTATCCATAAAGTGTAGATTATATCTTTAATCATTTATTTCTAAAACTTTCTTTTTCTTTTTAAACTGTGGCTTTGAGATTTACACTGTTGTTTTAAGGTGTATCCATGTAAGTACTATGGCCATGTTTCTTACTATTTCATTGTGGAAATCCCTTGGTTCCATACACCACAGACTGTTCTTCTAAGGATAGACTTGGAGATTTTATTTTCTGAAAAACAAACAAATAGATAAATAAACATTTTGAATATGCTCCTTGTTCACATTTATGAGAGTTTCTTGAGGGCATATAACCAAGATTCTAAAGTTGAGGAGGTAGATCTACTCATTTTCAAACTCATTGTTAAGAAATAGTTGTTGCCTAGCCCAATTTGGCTCAGTGGATAGAGTGTGGCCTGCAGACCCAAGGGTCCCAGGTTCAATTCTGGTCAAGGGCATGCACGTTGCTTGGGAGCACATGAGTTGTGCAGGAGGCAGATGACTGATGTTTCTCTCTCATCGATGTTTCTAAATCTCTATCCCTCTCCCTTCCTCTCTGTAAGAAATCAAAATATATTTTTTAAAAAATGGTTATTACCTGAAGCATTATACTTTCAGGCGATATTCCATTAAAAAAAACAAAGAGTTCATTGGCCTCTTCATCAACTTTCATTGGAATTTCCACCTCCTAAAAGAGAAGAGCTCCTCCTCACTTTTCTATCTGAATCCCCCCACCCCTGCGACTCCTTTTATGAGGTGGTCACAATTCAAAAGCTCTGGCACCCCATGGTGAAATATAAATGGTGAAGAATGAGGGTGTGATGAGACGTTGGGTGGATGACGGACATGAAGCCATGTCTCAGGGCACCATATCTGATTCACTGACTACTAGTTTGTAGTCTCTAAGGTTCTAGTATTGCCTAGTTTATTCTCCCAAGAGTCTATCTCAGAAATTATCCACCTCACTGTGGGACAGTGAAGAACAAGGACCCTGGAGCCAGCCTGCTGGGCTTGAATTCCTGACCCACCACTGCTAGTCACCTGCTTTTGAGCAAGTTCCCTCGCCTGCCTGGGGTTTTGTGTTCTTATGAAACAGGGAACATGCTTGTAATTATTTCATAAGGCTGTGTTGAGAACCAAATGAGAGAATATACATAAAGCTTTGAAGTAGGTGCCTACTAAATTTTTGTTGAACTGTCTGGAGAGTAAAAATAACAAAAAGCTATATCATACCTCCTTTTGTGTCAGGCATTGTTTTAGGAACTGGGGAGATGGCATTGGCCTTAATATATACCTTTTTCCAAAAATTTAGTTGCCTACTAGGATCAAGGCCAGATATATTATTTGGCTCAAAAAATATATGTTAAGTACATGCTGAGTGAATAAATGAATCCAATGTTTCTCCTAAGGCAATGAAATGCCCAGAGTATGTTCTGAGCAATAATGAAGCAAGTCAATTATATCCACGATAACTACATTCTCTGAATGGTATTGGACTCCTAATTTTTGAATATTGACTGTTCCCATATAATATGGTTAGTGCTTTGCCATTTGCCAAAATACTTGACTGGTCAGAATACCATATTTTTAAAGAAGATGAGTAACAAAGAGTTGACTATTTCTTTCATTTCTAATTGCATACAAAATAACATTCTCAATTTTGGGTTATGACCAGTCTTTGAAATTGATTTTTTCCCTTTGAATTTTAGGTCTCATTGTCCACGAAGGAGCTGCAGTTTACAGAGTATTTAAGCGCTGGCGAGCTGTTAACTTACATTGGGATGTACTAAATTATGACAAAGCCACAGACATCGAAGAAAGTAGCCGGGGAGAGTCTTCTACAAGCAGGACTTTATGGTTGCCATTGACGGCTCTGAGAAACAGGAACTTGGTCCACCCCACACAGCTAACCTCCCCGAGGTTTCAATGTGGCTACATGTTATTACACCTGTTCAATCGAATGAGACCCCATGAAGACCTATCAGAAGATAACAGCTCAGGAGAAGTTGTGATGAGAGTGACTTCAGTGTGACAAGAGTATAGGACAGTGCAGTGTGGACCATCCTACACATTTTGGAATGTAATTGCAATGAATGGCAAAACCATAACACTTCTAAAAACACACATCTATGAACTTTTTAAAATTTATGCTTTTTATATGAACATTTGAATTGCAAATACATTTTTCTGGAAAAAAAAAAAAGAGTCCTCTTGTTTGCTTTCTGATTTACCACACATTTTATAAGTTGATACTTGAAATCATGATCTGTATAATTTAACTCTACTTGGTTAAAAGAATGATGAAAGTTATCCTCAAGGCCCAAACTATTTTTTTCCTGCTTGTTTTAAATATATTTTTATCAAACTTTGTGCTCCATGTGTAATTTTTCAGACATGCTACAGATGGGGAAGAGTGTAGAATTCTGTGGACTGGTTCCAAAGTGTCTATCAATTGAGTGGTCACGAGGCTCTGCACTGACCTCCTCATGCTGGTTGGCAAACTTGACCATGATTTTTTATTTGGGGGGGCCGGGTGTGGGGGAGGAAAATACCTGTCAACAGGAAAATAGATTCTAGGAATTATGGCTTGTTTTCTAACTTCTGAAACAGTACAGAGAGAGCTTGTAAAAAGATAAAGATAAGCTGAGTAGAATAGTTTTACTCCAGAACATATAACATAGAGCATCCTGCATACTTATAACTCTAAAAGCAAAACATTGCATCACTGTGTGTGTGATAATAATACTGCCTCACGTTTGCATAAACCTCTCATAGACCTATCAAAATGTTGGTGTCTTGATTTCTATGAGCACTGTCTTAATTAGATTTTCTTTTTGCAAAAGCTTATATGCCTACTTAATCATTTAAACACCAATCCCATTACTTGGTTTAATGAAGTCCTGGGGAAATACACTCACCAGCAATGAGAAGTGTTTCTCTTTCACTAAATAAGTATTTTTTAAATGAAAAGAGGAAAAATGAGGCTATTGACTCCCCAGGAACAGATTTCTAACTAGTTGAACCTCGAGATTTTCCACCATTTATCCTTCTAATGGAAGTAAATGGCACATTTTAATCTCAAAGACAGAATAGATGAGGCAGGCGGTCATGCTTTCCTTAGAAACATGAGTTGAGCATATAGGTCATTTAAAGTAATTGATCAGATTTTAAAGCATATGAAACAAAATGCTTTGCACCCTACTTTCTAATAATAATCTTTGTATGATTAAAAACAGAATAGGAATGTTTACAGGTAACATGATTTTTACATGGCAAATTCTACCAACACTTGAAATATTTTCCCGGTTAAAAAATTGTCACAATGATTTAAAGATTACTTTAGTCCTAATTTTTCAGTTCAGAAAAAATATTTCTATCATGTGTGTGAGATAAAGCATCACAGCAGGTGTTGTAATTTATAGCAAAGCTCAAAGTTCCAGGCCCCAGTGGAACCGTAGAGATTAATTCACTGCATTCATGAGGATGCCATTTTACATGCAGTGGATTTATCTGGTAAATTAATCAAAGACTTCAAAGTTATTTTAAGAGATTGCCCCCCTAGGAAATATAGGACATATTTGTGGGGCCATTCTTTGGCCTAGCACACATTTATTCCATGCTTCCCTCACCTCCCATCTCTTCCAGGACCTGGGATAATTATCCTCAGGAATATTAATGATAATAATAAACAAAAAAACTGCCCACAACAAGATAAAGATGCAAATACAGCCTTTGGGTGTGCTTCCTGTAAGGCTATTTGGGCATATTTTTAGTTAATGGAAAAAATAGAAGAGAAAAAATTTAAATTATAGTAAAGAAAATTCAGATGATAATTTTTTTTATGTGTTAGTTTCCCATGGACATAGAGGGGGAAATTAATTAATAGTTAATAATTAATAAGTTACTTCCCCTCAGTTTACTTTCACCTCCCTCAAATTAATGAAACTCTCAAAAATCTGTAAAAATGAAAGAACAAAGATGAAAACATCAATCTATATAATTCTTGATCAACATCCAGGCCCAGAGCCCTTCTTCTGAGTTCAGGCAAAGATGGATTTTCTGAAGCTGAGGGACGTTTTAAATGTCAGAAAAAGGTTCAGGGAGGGAGTTGACATTCATTTCCCACAGGTTTAATCTTTGTGCTGGCTTTGGATGTGATAGCCTTATAGGAAAAAAAATTCTAAGTGAAATTATGAATTTCCCCCTCAGGGGACTTATGCCTCAACAACATTTGTTTCATTAGAAATCTCCCCACAGCCATGTTTATGAAGAATTTGAATTAGCCCTCTTCTAAATAAAAGTAAATTATATTTATTGACAGGATTGCAGGAAGAACATGTTCTTTTACTTTTTGTTTCACTTTTTACTTAAAATTCCCTAGGTTATCACTCATATTGATCTTTTTCTGAGGCCAGTAGGACTAAGTTTAATCAAAATGACAGGCAAATGTTTCTTTAAATAAAATGTTTTGATTCAAGTTCTTTAGTTTTGAACTAAAATTGTATTAAAACACCTCTCTCAGCCCTGGCCAGGTAGCTCAGTTGGTTAGAGTATCATCCCAATAAGCCAAGGTTGCATGTTTGATTCTCTGTCAGAACACATGCAAGACAACCAATGAATGCATAAATAAGTGAAACAACAAGTAGATGTTTCTCTCTCTCTCTCTCTCTCTCTCTCTCTCTCTCTCTCTCTCTCTCTCTCTCTCTCTCTCTTCTCTTTCTCTTTCTCTCACCCTTCCTCTCTCTAAAGTAAAAAACTTGAAAATAAATAAAGCAGCTCTGATTAAATAACACATCTACCTCCATGGGTAGTGATTTTATGGACATAGCAGAGAATGGATTTGAAACAACATGAAAATAGTAAGTGGACACACAAGCTTACAAGATCTGTGACTATCTGTGAATAATAATGTTACTACCATTACTTGTGTTGGACCTGGAAGATTCTGTGGTTCTGCAGAGGCTTCTCTGAAGATATAATCACAGTGAGTTGTTCTCTTCAAATAAATCTCTTAAATATGCAATTGTAACGTTCTACAGAGCAGCAAAGTAGCCCTTAGCTCTAATAATTTCCACTTGACTTGGTTGTCATTACCAGAAGAATATGCGTATTGGGTAGGGAGATGGGCACGGGTGTAGGGGAGAGATGGCAGCAATTTGTCAATGTCGGTGGAAAATGTCATTCTCAGGACAAAAGGTTGGGACAAAACAGTGCTCTGGTTTCATTCTCCAATGTCTGATGCTTGCTTTGTGTCAACATTCATTGAGCCAAATCAAATTGTCATCCACTGTGCTTACCCTTTGGAAGCACTTAGAATCAGTTTTCTAACTGTGCTCAGAGGTGTGTGCAAGCCTGGCTCCTATCCCAGCTTTGTGACCTAACTCAGGGCTGGTCATCTTAAACTCCAGCAGCATCCAATATTGAAAATGGAAGACTTGCCTTTGGGAATAAGGCTTCTTTATCCAGTAAATATTTATTGATTCTCAATTATGTGCCAGACACTGATGGATGATTGAGGAGAGGGTTTAGAGAGAAACACCAAGTGGGACATGGGGGTGGTACTGTCATTAGAAATAAAAAGGTATCCTACAGGGTGCTGCTTTAGTCCCCTCTACCTCCTAACTCCCCATGGAACAAAAAGACTGTGGACCAAGGGTACATGTCCATTCAGAGTCTATCCAGAGCCCACTTTTCATTTAGACTATGCTATAGGCACTACACAAATGGCTCGAGTCCGCTTTCAGAGTCCACATGAACTTCTTCTCTAGGTTTATTCTTCTGAGGCTGGCCAGTGCTCAGCATGGCCATCCCAAGGACCTGGGGCTGGCAAAGAGGCAGCTAAGGGGACAGCAGGAGGTGTGAATAAAGCTTGGATATCTGGGCTGTAGGTTACACATATGCAATCAAAGATCCTATAGTAAGGAGAGGATCCAGGGGTAGAAAGAAAAAGGGCAAAGCCATGGAGTCTAAGAACACAGACCTGACGATTTAATTTTACAAAGGTGTGTGTAAAGTTAAGGGGATAAAGCTTATTTTATTTAACAGTTTTTAACTTCATTTTTAACTTTAAGTATTGGACTTTTGGTATTAAATTTTACTTCTGCCTTGGACTCTGTAAATATGAAGAGGTTGTCTATAAGCAATTGAGTTAAGAAGAAATTAAACAAAGTTGTTAGATATCATCCAATACTATGTATGGTATTTTTTTCAAAGATATCCTATATAATAAAAGCCCAGCTACCAAATGGCAGAACAACCAGGACTGGTCGGCCAGTTGCTATGAGATGCACTGACCACCAGGGGGAAGATGCTCAATGCAGGAGCTGCCCCCCTGGTGGTCAGTGCACTCCCACAGTAGGAGGGCCACCTGGCTGACCAGAATGTGTGCTCCCATAGCAGGCTGATCCCTGCAGGCCATTTTTCCCAACCAGTGCATGAATCCCGTGCACCAGGCTTCTAGGATAGTACCAGTAGTAATATAATCCTAAAGTCACAGTCTTCTGAGTTCAAAACTGGGCTTTATCTTTTAATTCTTGTGTAATCTTAGAGAAATTTCAGGGAAAGTTTAATTTACAGACTAACTGGTTGATAGATGTTCACCATTCCCTCTGTGAAAAATTCCAATTGCATCCAAAGCACTCATTCCAATTATCTACTGCTACATAAAAAAACCACCCAAACTTAGTGGCTTAAAATAAATATCTTCTCTTTTGCTCACTATTCTGTAATAAAAAAAATGCTCAGCAGGGATGGCTCATCTCCACTGTACATGGTATAACGTAGAGTGATTTGACTGGAACTGGAGGATCTGATTTCAAGATAATTCATTCACATGGTTGGCAAGTTGGTGCTAGTGTCAGCCGGGAGCTCAGTAAGGACTATGGGCTAAGGGGATTAGCTTGGAATTAGCTTGGATTTTAGGTAGTATCCTTTTTTGCCATATTCTGTATATGTAGTCACCAAGTCCCCTCCAGCTTTGGGGGAAAATCATCTAGCATAGATTCTAAATGAAAATGTGAGGTGGTATATGTA